GAACCTGAGCGCGCGGGAGCGTCCCACCCCCGCAGCCTGCAGGGCACGGGGCGACCTCGGCCCTAGCGGTTTGGACACAGGCTCCAGGACCCCGAGTCTGCCCTCTGACCACCCGGACCTCACTGGCTGCCTTGATCCTCTTGACCTAAATTTACCTCAAGGCTGCAGCGCGCAGTGCATGAAGAGTGAGTGCATGCTCCGGCCCCTCTGGCTCAGCCCTGGGGCTGGTGCCCCGGTGTCACCGGGGTTTTGCCACGGTTCTCCCCACCCCCTGGCTGCCCAGTTTGGGGGACGGGGTGTTTTTCACAGCTCTGCCAGCCTCCTCTCGGGCTTCTCTCACTTGGAGATGAAGAGGTGGCACTTTGCTGGGGGTGGAGAACGTCAGAGGTGCCATGGGCAAAGAAGCAGCCGTCTGATCTGGGGGTGGGTCATGCCGCGCATTCATTTCCCTAGCTGCAACTTTTACCTTCTTCAGCCTACTCTTGGATTATCCCCAGTCCGGGAGTAGAAACTTCAAGTGCCCTGGGGCATTAGCGATGTCTTTTACACCTCCTCCCAACTCTGCCCCCACAGGACTGAAGGGAGGATTGCTCTGTGTTCCCACAGCTCCTTTGTTCTTTGGAAGTGGCAGGGGCTGCCACTGTTCCCAAAACGCCCCACAGAAACCGTGCAGTTTCAGAATAGATTGTGTATCAGTGTACGAAAGCAGCTTCAGTTTGCCAGATCTTCCTTTTGTACATTCTGCTGCTCTTATCCAGTTCACCAAAGCAATCATTTGATGAGTCCCTACCTTGGATAATCGTAGTGACCTTTTTCATCCATGCCCGGGCTAGAACCCAGTGCCAGGAGCATGCTAAGAGCACCCTCTACCTCTGAACCACACTCCCACCCCCTAATTAACATTTGTGGAGTTCTTGATGTGGCAGAAACTGTTTTGTAGCTTGCATTATCTCATTTAATGCTTATCCTGTTTGTCTGGGAATTTTGTCACTATGGTCAAGAATAGGAGATTGAGGCTCAGAGAGGTTAGTCAACTTCTTGGATCACGAAGACAAGCAAGGTTTCCCTCACTTTGGTGAGGGGGAGCCCAGGCCTGTTTACTAAGCAGCATATGAGGACAGAGAGCAGTCCTGTCAAAAAATTCAGGCTTGTCTTTCCCTCTAGTTGTTAGTGGGCTAATAAATATGCAGTAGTTCTCAGGGGGCAGTGCCACCCTCCTGGTGAGCACTTGGAAACGCAATGGCAATGTGTAGGAGTGACTTTGGTTTGTCAAAATGAGACTAAACACTCTTGGTGCTTAGTGGGCAGGAGCTAGGGAATGCCAAATGTCCTGTAAGAATGTCGCTACCCTAAATGCCAGTAGGAAGACGTTGAGAAATGCCATAAGCCTCAAGTGCTGGGGAAATGGAGAGATAGCCACAAGGTGCATCCTGAAGAAATCTATTCTGATGGGACTGTCCCCCAGAGGCTTCCTGAAGGGAGTGTCATTTGTACCAAGCCTTTGAAGATGTGCTGAAAAGTGGAGGGAGTGGGTAGAGGGAATAGGATGGGGCCCAGTTCAACAGAGGGGGTTTGCGCATTGGATGGAGACAGTGGCTAGGGCTGTTGTCTGTTGTTTGGTAGGCCAAACTTCTGTTCTCAGTCTTTTTGCTTAGAGTCTAACATGGCCCATCAGCCACCCTTGTCTTACTGTCGTGAACCCATTCTGTGGAAGGGCTCCAATTGGCAGTTGTTCTGTCACTTGAGGCCTTTTCCTTGATATGCCTCCTACTGGTGGCTTGAGGGCCTTGTGGATCTCATTTCTTCCTGTTATCCTGGGGATTTGGGCACATACTCTATCACATTTCTCCTTTGAGTCAGAGTCTTGGACTGGTAGGCAAGAGAGCCCCAATGTGGCTTCATGCAGGTGGCTCTTAGGCTGCCGTAGCCTCTTTGGTCACACCTGTACTTTTTCCTTGCAAGTTGAGGGGGTTTCTCTTTGAAAATTGACTTGTAAGCCGGGCGTTGGTGATGCACACCTTTAGTCCCAGCACTTAGGAGGCAGAGGCAGGCACATCTCTGTGAGTTCGAGGCCAGCCTGGTCTACAGAGTGAGTGCCAGGATAGGCTCCAAAACCACAGAGAAACCCTATATCAAAAAACCAAAAAAAAAAAAAAAAAAAAAAGAAAGAAAGAAAGAAAAAAGAAAATTGACTTCTAGGATGAGACACAGCTCAGTTGGGAGAGTGCTTGCATGCCACACATGAAACCCTTGGCTTGGTCCCTAGCACTTTATGACCCGGGTGTGGGGGTACATGCCTGTAATCCCAACACTTGTGTGGTGCAAGCTGGACCAGAAGTTCAAGGTCGTGCTCATCTACATAGCAAGTTGGAGGTCAGCCTGGGCTACATGAGACGCTGTATCAAATTAGGTAAAAAATGATAGAGTTCAGATTGTTTGTTGATAGAAATTTGTAAGTGTTTTGGTTTTTACCTTGCTAGCAAGCCCTCTAAGCTAATCCCCAACCCTTAAAAATAATCAAGGTGAAATTCCCTCCAGCAGCATTTAGGACACTTTCAGTGCTGTGCCTCTATTCCCTCTGTCTAGTTTCAGAGCATTTGCATTGCCTTGAAAGTAATTTTATACTAATAAATAGTCACTCCCTGTTCCCAGTATCCCTCCCTCCAGGCTCAGGCACCCACATGTCTGCTGTCTGCGGATGTGTCCTGAGAGTTACATCTCATGTAATAATAGGTAGTCTTTTGTATATGATTCACTCAGTATCACACCTGCATGCTTCATTCCTTTTTATGGCTGAATAATATTCCATAGTCTGAGTGGACTACATTTGGTTTGTTCATCTAATGATGGACATGTGTGTTGTTTCTAGTATAAGGCTTCTCTTTCTTTCCCTTTTCTGGGAGACAGGGTCTCATTATGTAGTCTGGTCTAGCCTTCACTTCTTGGTCTTCCTGTCTCTGCCTCTTGCATGTGTACACCACCACACCTAGCTGATCTTCTTTCTTCAGTTATAGAACATTTTAAGCACAGAGAAATGGCAAAGTTTTGTTTTGTTCATTTGGACTGGTTTGTATTCAGAAGGCAGGAAGGATGCCCTGGGCGTGACAGGAACTGGACGGTGTGCTGCCCTTTTCTCAGCCTGGCTCTGCAACCTCCATCCCCTGTTTGGGAGGGTCTGGGAACAGAAGGGAGCTGAGGGGAGCTGGGACTTGCTCCCTGTGATAGTCTCTGTGCTGCTAGGGAACAGATGAACTGTGTTCTAGCATACGTTTTCCTTTGGAGAGGAAGAAAAGGGAAATTAGGAGATTCTGTCGTGCCCCCACACCCACCCCATCCTGAAAGCTGCAGAGGGACTATTTTTGTGTTGCCTCTTTTTATCCTGGTGGCTGTAAATAGTTGAGAGATGGCAGTTACAGAGATAAAAATGCTAATTCCAACCTGGAAAGGAGAGACGATGATCCCACAGGAAGTGGGGTAAGAAGGGAGGCCAGGATCTTGCCCTCTGCCCTGACAGGTTGCACAGGAGGCAGGGCTGAGGGAAGGCCAAAGGTGTTTCCCAAGTGCTTCTGTTAGGGCACACGTAAAGGGGAGGCAGTGGTTAGATGGCGGGGGTGGGGTGGGGGGGCATCTCCCTATCCCTGTTTAGGTTTGTTTGGATTATCGAGACAGGGTTTCTCTGTGTAGCCCTGGCTGTCCTGGAATTGGCTCTGTAGACCTGGCTGGCCTCAAACTCAGAGATCTGCCTGCCTCTGCCTTCCTTGTGCTGGGATTTATCTGCCTCTATGCCTAGCTCTGTTGTGCTTTTAAATGTACACTGGAACCAGGAGTGGTAGCACACTCCTTTAATTCTAGCACTTGGGAGGCCAAGACAGGCAGACCTCTGAGTTTGAGTTCTGGCTGGTCTACAAAGTGAGTTCTGGGACAGCCAGGCCTACACAGAAAAACCCTGTTTCTAGGGGGAAAAGTACATTGGGAATGTTGCTTTCAAAGCACCTGGCAAAGAGAGATTTAGGTTCATCTCAGACCTCAATACCCATTCTGGGTCCAGATATGGGGGATATGTGGCCCTGCGTGGGTCGGGGCATGTATACTTGAGTGAGGCTGGAGGGGGAAGGAAGCGGATTAAACAGTCTCTGGACAGACAGGGATGAGGGAGGGGGAGAGGTGTGGGTGGGCGAGACAGGGATGCCTGTGGTGCCAAGCCAGGCCCCCATGTTTCTGGTTGGATCTCTTTCTTTCCCCTACAGATTGAAATTCCATTTGTTTCCCTGCTTCTTCCTTTGACTCAGTGGAGGACTGGGAGGGAGTCAGTCAGAGTTCAAGGAAGTTCAAATTCTGCCTCCCTCAAACATTCACCGTATCTACTCACGTGTTTGTCCTTTCTGTATCTTTAAGGCCTTCAAAGCTTGACCACAGATAGAATTGTCCTGTTCTCTCAATGATATGTGACCCATCAGGTCCCTAAAAGTGGCCATCCGGGGCTCAGAAACTCCTCAGTCATTCAGGGTCTCTGTCTGCAAAGGTCTGGACCTCTGGCTCTATTCCCTGCCCAGCCACAAGCCTGCTGGCCTTTTTTGTCTCACCTACCCTGGCTTTTAGCATCTCCACCTGCAGCCACCGTCGATTGCTGAAGCAGTGGGCAGCAAGTAAGTTCTTACAATATGTCAGTTTGGATGTGAAATTGTATTCACTTTTTTTTTTTTAAATTTAGTAACAAATGATGCCTTGGACCACAGCTAGCAGGGAAGGTGGAAAGAGTTTAGTTACCATAGTGAGATTAGAAATTCTCATTTGAAGCCTGAGTGGTGGTGTCACACACCTTTAATCCCAGCATTCAGGAGACAGAGGAGGGCAGATCTCTGAGTTTCAGAAGAGCCACTGCTACACAGAGAAACCCTGTCTTTAAACAAACAAACTAAACAAATGAAGTTCAAATTTGAGGCTGATCATGTGCACATCTTTAATCCCAGCACTTGGGGGGCTGCAGAGGCAGATGGATCTTTGAGGGATCTCTGAGTTTGAAGCTGGCCTTGTTTACAGGTTGAGTTTCAGGACAGCCCAGTCTATGTAGAGAGATCCTGTCTCAAAAGGTAAAAAAGATTCAAATTTGTTTTTAGTATAAACAGTCAAGGAATTTTCCTTTTCCTTTTTTGGGGGTTGGTGAGAGGTGGTGTTTTGAGACAGAGTTTCTCTGTGTGGCCCTCGATGTCCTGGAACTCTCTCTGTAGACCAGGCTGGATTTGAATGCTTAAAGGTGTGTGCCGACACCCCTAGCTTTTATTTTCTCAATTTATGTGTATGTTTGTGTGAATATATGCCATCTGTATGCCAGTGCCCACAGAGGCCAGGAGAGAATGTCAGATGCCCTGGAGCTGGAGTCAAGCAGTTGTGAGCTGCCTGGCACGGGTGCTGGGATCTGAACTCAAGTCCTCTGTAAGAGCAGCAAGTGCTCTTAACTGCTGAGCAATCTGTCTCTCCAGTCTGCAGCAGTCAAGGAGTTTGGCTGTGTACCTTCGGAAGCCTTTGCTCTGCTTTTGTTTAGTGTGCCCCCCCTAGAACTCCCCTGGTTGTATGATCATGGGCAAGTCACTTAGACTCTCTGTGCCTCCATCTCCTCATTGGTGAAGTAGGGAATAATAAGGTTATCATGAAAACCACTGAGTTGGTACAGGCTTAGTATGATGCCAAGCAGCCAAGGCAGCTAGTTTCAGGTATTAAGTATTGCTACAGCAACAGCTGTCACAGCTGTTGCTATAACGGGTGAAAATCTTCAACAGGCTTTTTCCAAGCTAGCCAGTCACTCAGGTCTTCTCCATCACTAGCTTTTTTCTCTCTAAAATAAACAAAACATTGACTTTGTGGGTGTTGTTTTCTGCCTAGCCATCAATGTAAAGGCTGCCTGTGTTATTAGGGACTAGGCAGCTGCGGAACAGCCTGGCCTGCATGAGTGCCTTTGAGTGTAAGGAGCTGAACTTAGTGGAAAAGCTTTTCTGTCAGTCTGGTCTTTGTCACTTGTAGTCAAAGTCTTTGGTAAGTGATGAGCTCTGTTGGCTCAGGTTGTTGGAAATGCTGGGATATATGAACTCCAGAGATAGATGGATCTAGGTGCTAAATCAGTTTTCCATCCATTGTTTTTCTTCTCTCTTGATTGACTTTCTTCTGAAGCAGCACCCTCCTGATGGATATTCTTACAGCACTAAGTTGGACAGGAAGAATCTTTTCCTCCCTTTTAACACTTAAAGAAAAAATCTCAGAGTAAGAACCAGTAGACTGTATTTGGTCACATATGTTCTCTTGAATCCATCACTTGACCAGAGTACTTGATGTCCAGTTTGGCAGTTTTGAGTCATGGATGAGGCCCTGAAACTGGTGGTGGGGTTGGCTCCATGGGGCTGCCTCACATAGAAAGATGTGTTCCCAGACTAAAGGAATGCCATCTCTAGGCCAGCTAAAGACAGCGTCTGACCTTCTGACTGGTCTTGGAATGTTTGAAATATACACCCTCCAGTTTACATTTGTTGAATGCCAGCTGTGTTCTAGAAAGTTCTAGGCCTGAGAATTTAGTGGTGAATTCAAAACCTCACTCTCCTTTTAGTCAAACCATGTTGCTGTGCTGAGTCTGGGCATTTGTTCTTGGTACAGTTGGCGGCTGTTGCCTTTGGTCTCCCCTCATACAGATTGAGTTCCCAGGAAGGCAGCGACATGGCCTATGCCAAAGATTTGACCCAGCCTGTACTTTACTCACGACACAGTTTGTGACCTTTGTAAGGCTGTGTCTGTAACCTTTAGGTTTTTTCTTTTCTTTTCTTTTTTCTTGGAAATTGCAGAATAGGACTGTTGGCTGTGGCACCATGGTCAAGTACTTGGCTCTGTGTGTGCAGGGGCTGTGAGTTCCACCTCAGGCACCTCGGTGAAACAAAACAAAACCGGCCCATTTTAGCTCTACTCAAAACTACTGTGTGATTCTAGGTAAATCAGCAGTTTTTAAAACAATTTGACATTTGGAGCGTGAGTTCATGAGTGTGTGAGTTCATGACACAGTATGAGTGTGGAGGTCAAAGGTCAACCTGGGAGTTGGTTCTCTGCTTCCACCATAAAGGGTTCCAGGAATCAAACTCTGGTCATCACACTTGACAGCAGTCCTTACCCACTGAACCACCTTGCCCTCTCTAGTGACTCTTTTGAGCCTTTATTTTCTGTTGGTAAAGTGAAGAATTTAGGGCAGATGACCGTGGAGGTGTGTGCCTAGTCTGCTAACGTTGCTTGACTCTTAAAGCTGGAGTTGTAGGCTCAGACACTTGTAATGGTGAGGTAGGTTATGAGATGTGGGATGTAGGGAAGGGAGGTCATGGAACATGGCCTACCACCTGACCTTGGCTGTACACTGGAAATTGTTTCCCTTGACCAAACTTGCTGTGAGTTACTGTTTGAGTACTTAAGAGGTGTGGGGGAGGGTTGTCACGCTGTGTGTGTGTGTGTGTGTTTGTGTGTGTGTGTGTACCTATAAGCCAGAGGTTGACAGAGATGTCTTAATTGCTCTTCATCCTGACCGGTTGAGACAGGGTCTCTCACTGAACCCAGCATTCACCAGGTGGCAGTCAGTCACATCTGGCTTTTTTATGGGGTTGCTGTGGAGCATAGCAGGCATTTTACTGAGGGAGCCATCTCCCTAGTCTCCTCGTTTTTGTTTGCGTGGTAGTGCTGTTGGTTGGCTAGCTGTGATGGCACATACCTATAATCCTAGCAGTCAGGAGGCTGATGCAGGAGGATCACAAAGCTAGCCAGTGCCACATGCTCTGTCTCATTTTTTTTTTTTAATTTTAATTAAAAGGAAAAGGAAAGTATTTCCAGGACAGACTTCCTTGACCCTCAGCTTCCTCCTTCTTTGCCAGCTGCCTCTCTTCTGGTCTCTTGTGTACCCGTCTGGCTGTCTACTCTGCGCTGTAGCACTAGGGTGCCTCCCCTAGTGTTAAATGTTTCATGAGGTTGTTGTGGGTCCCTTGCTACAGAAACTGCACAGTATCTCCTCCATAATCACTTGGAGTTTTTCTTTGACTATTTGGTTCTGTGTTTTTTGAGAAATGCTCTCACTGTGTAACTGTGGCTAACCTCAAATTTGCTGTGGTGGTGATGCACACCTTTAATCCCAGTACTCAAGAGGCAGAGGCAGGCAGATCTCTGTGAGTTTTGAGGCCAGCCTGATCTACAGAGTGAGTTTCAGGACAACCAGGGCTATAAAGAGAAACTCCGTCTTGTAAAAACTGCTCCCTCCAATTTTTCGACGTAGCTGAAGATGAACCTTGAGACCTTGAATAGGTTCTAATGTCCTTGCCTCTACTTCCATAGTATTACAGTACTACTATAGTATTATAGCACTACTATACCTGGTTTATGCAGTGCTGGGCATTGAACCCAGGACCTCTTTCATGCTTAGCAAGAACTCTACTGAGTAAGCTTCAACCCTAATTGCTTGTTAAAAGAACAAATGAATGGCCGGGCATTGGTGGCACACACCTTTAATCCCAGGACTTGGGAGGCAGAGGCAGGTGGATCTCTATGAGTTTGAGACCAGCCTGGTCTCTAGAGCGAGTGTCAGGATAGGCTGGCTCCTGATAGACAGGATAGACAGGGCTACACAGAGAAGCCCTGTCTCGAAAAACCAAAAAAATAAAAAAATAAAAGAACAAATGAATGAATGAATTTCCTTTAGAGCCTTAGGCCTCAGTTTCCCCAGGTGAGAGAGGGTGTGGCAGTTTAGGGATTTTCCTGACTCTAGGGATGACATCATTCCTGGCCTTGGTAGGATCTGTGGAGCTGATTTGCCGCCCCCCTATTTTTGTCCTGGCAAGCCAGGGAAGAGGGGCTCTGAGGACCCTGAGGGACTCTGCGGAAGGTGTCTCTGATTTTGAGGCCTACCCTCTGAGTTGTCCTACAGCCCCACAGTGGCTCAGCTCAGCTTGGCATTTGGCAGGAGGCAGTTGTGGTTGGAAATGGCCCCCAGGAAATGGAAATGGCCAGGCGTTTCCTGGAGGCCTGTGCCACTTGGCTTTCTGGCACAGGAAGGAACATTCCTCTCCTCCTGGCTGGAGACTGGCTCCATCTGCTCCAGGAAGGGTCTGGTGGCTCCACTGGTGCCCTGGAGTGAGGGGGGCCTTCTGTGTGGGGCAGTGCTTGTGACTCATGGGAAACTGCCAGGCCAGGCCAGGACCGCTGGCGCTTTGCCAAACCCAGGCAGCCTTATAGGAAGGTCCTCTTCAGTCCTGTGTTCCGATTCCTGCCCCTCCCTGCAGAGGGCTTGTCCTGCGGGAATTACACAACCAAGCTGAGTTATTCCATGCCTGCTGTCTTAAAGCAAATTCAGTACAGTCCTTTATGCCAAAACTACTGTCTTCATGTTCAGTTTTCTGCTAGAGACATGTTGGTAGCTTCATTAGATTCTCATAGGGTCTCTGGCCCCTAAACAATTCAGAATACTGACTTAGACTGTAGGGGTGGGACAGGACTCTTCTACACAGCCCTCCTGACTGTTCATCTCTTCTCTAGATCTGGGCCTGCCTGTCTTCATAAGCAGCCCTGGCCTGGGTCTTAGTGCTTCTGTTTTCCTCCTTCCATCAGACCTTGAAGGCCAAGCCTGCGTCAGAGGCAGTGGCCAGGGAGGCCCAGACCAGACACCGGCTGCCCAAGGAGACTTGATTAAAAGCAGCTTTGTTGGGGGTGGACGGCTTGGTGTCCTTGGCCTGGAGTAGAGATCGATAAGCAATTGTTTTTCTGTTGGCAAGAAAAAAAATCTCCATTGATTCTCGCAGGCACTGCCAAGTCTGGTTTTCTTTTCAGGAACACTTGTAACCCCAACAGAAGTAGCTCTGAGAGGAAGGACAGGCCGCCTGCCCTGAGGGTGGATGGGTCAGCCAGGATGATGGAATCCCACACAAGAGCAGATAGACTCACTAGGACAGAGGTCACTCCAGAACATTCTGGAATGTTAGGGTTAGGTTAGGGTTAAGGACACACAGCCCCACTGTTTGTAGTCATTGTATTGAAAGAATAGCACTTTTTTTTTTTCATTTTTCAAGATGGGGGGTTCTCTGGTTAGCTCTGGCTGTGAACTTGCTCTGTAGACCAAGCTGGCCTGAAACTCACAGAGATCCACCTGCCTCTGCCTCCCAAGCACTGGGATTAAAGGCGTGCGCCACCACTGCCCTGTGAAAGAATAGCTTTTTAGCACTTCCATCATGTTTTCTGAGTGCGTGACTCATCTGCTCCCCATTACTATCTGGAAGGTGTCCATCTTAAAAATGGGGAAACTGAGGCAGAGAAAGACTAAGGCAAGCTAGGAAAAGGATAGTCCCAATCCATGGACTCCAGGCCCTGCCTTCCTCTTCGGAAGATGAGGGTCACAGAAGGTTATGTGAGACAGCAGCCGCCAGGCTGCAGAGAATGTGGGACTTCGTGAGAATCATCCACTAGCAGTCACGCCAACGCAGGGAGGGGCACAGCTGAGGATGTCTTCCTTGGTGCATTACGGTGTGGCAGGTCTGCTCCAATCATGGCTGCTTACTCTCCTTCTGGAAATTCATTTTGGGGGCTGGAGAGATGTCTCAGCAGTTAAGAGCTCACTGTACTCTTGCATGGGACTTGAGTTCAATTCCGAGCTCCCAAGTCTGTTGGCTCACAACTGCCTGTTACTCCTGGAACAGGGGATGCCATGCCCTTTCTGGTCTCCAGGACACTTGCACTCCCATGACACAGACACACATATACGTAATAAAAATATTGTATAATACACACACAGTGAAAATGAGCCATAGCCACCATTTTTACCTGGACTCCTCCGTGGCGTCAAGCATGTCCGCTGTGTTGGGCTCCTCCCTTTCATCAGGACCTCCTTGTTCTCCACTCTCCTCAATCCTGCTCACCCTGCTGCTTTCTTCCCTTCCTGTTTTGCATGAAGGCTTTCATGTGGTCCAGGCTAGCTTCAAACTCCCCGAGTAGCTGAAGTTGACCTTGAATTTGTGCTCTTACCTGCCTGTTTCCTTGGCGATAGATTTCCAGCAAGCACCACCACGTGCAGTTTATGCAGTGCTGGGGTTGGAACCCAGGGCTTTGTGCATGCAGTTCCAACACTGTACCCACCTACTCAGCCCCACCCCAGCCCTGGCCTTTTTTTTTTTTTTCCGTATGAATTTGACCACCATCAAAAAACAAACAAAACAAAAAACAATAAATGAATAAATAAAAATAAAAAAGCCCACCACTTTTTTTTTTTTATCATAAATGGTGTTCGTCTGTGGGCACATGTCAGGTCTGGGAATGCCAAGGCTTTTCTGATTGTAGGATTCCCAGCCACCTTGCCTGAAATAGTAGATGTTTTGCAAGTAATTCTGAATGGACAATTTGGAGAGGGCTGGGCAACATTTCTGTGTCTCAGCTGGGTCCTCTAGGGAGCCCTGACTTTGTGCCACTTTCACCCTTTCCTCTCAAGGCCCTCCTCTACCAGTGTGACCCAGGAGGCCATTTTACCCACTCAGGTCTCTGCCGGCACCCCCTGTTTCCCCAGCACCTAGAGAGAGCTTCCTTGATTAGCACACAGCTGCCATCACATCCCTGGATGCACTTACCTAACTCCAGCTGTGCCCGTGACATTTGTCCACCAGAATTTGTCAAACACATGAGCTAAAGGTTAATATTCTATCCCAGCAACGTTGAGAATTGACAACCTGTGGGCATGTATCAGGCTGTCCTGTCTCTCTCTCAAATTAATACAAAACTTCATGTGACATAAAATTGATTTTTTTGAAGTGGAGGCACAGTGCTGTAGAACCTAAAGCTTCTCAAACCCTAGTTAGGAGCTTTACTGTCAAGCTGATAGCTGCACCCCTAGCCTTCCAATTAACCGCTCCTCCCCCCCCTTTTTTTTTCTTTCCTTTTAAACTTGAGACAGTTCTCACTGTGTCCCTCTGGCTTGTCTGGAGCTCATTATGTAGAGCAGAATGACCTGGAACTCGCAGAGATCCTCCCGCCTCTGTCTCTGGAGTACTGGGAATAAAGGTGTGCACCACCATCCTTGGCAGATTAACCCTGTTAAGATCAGTAGTTCATTGCGTTTAGTACATGGCATGAGGTTGTGAAGCCACCACCTCTGTCTAGTTCCAAGACATTGTCACCAAGATGAAACCCTGCACCTGTTAAGCAGTCACTGAATTGCCCCCAGAGTGCTCTGAAGTCCCAGGTAATGGTATGCTTTCTGTCTCTGTGGATTTGCCTAGTATGGAAATTTCATTTCCATGGAATCATGCAACACATATGGGCCTCTTGGGACTGGCCTTGCACTTGGCATGACATTTTCAGCTTTCATCTGTGTTGTGGCCATTGTCAGTGGTTCAGGCCCTTTTATGGCTTTGTAGTTTTCCACTGTATGTACGTATGGGCCACATTTTGCTTATCCATGTTCTGACTTCCTTCTCTTAGCTACAGTGACGGGTGCTGTTTGGTTGTACTCTGACTTTTTGAGGAACCACTCACAGGCAGCCATCTTGGTTTCCTAGGTGGTGCTGGGGATTTAAACTCCATTCCCGTGCTTGTAGGACGGTCACTCTTATACTGAGCCATCTTCTCAGCCTGTTTGTTCTGAGACAAAGTCTCAGTGTATAGCCTGGCTGGCTTGGCGCCCCCACACATATAGAACAGAGGTCTGATAGCACATCCATGATGCTGCTTGTGACATCTTAGTCCGTGGGAGAAGTCTGCCTCTGTCATGGCATAGTGCAGCAGGGAACATACATGCCTATCTAGCATTTAAAAATATTCCAGCCGGGCGGTGGTGGCGCTCACCTTTAATCCCAGCACTTGGGAGGCAGAGGCAGAGGATCTCTGTGAGTTCGAGACCAGCTTGGTCTACAAGAGCTAGTTCCAGGACAGGCTCCAAAGCCACAGAGAAACCCTGTCTCGAAAAACCAATAAATAAATAAATAAACAAATAAATAAATAAATATTCCAGATAATCACTATTTCTTAAAGAAGTGTGTGTGTGTCTGTCTGTGTGTCTGTGTGTCTGTCTGTGGCAGGCAGGTACATCACCTGGAACTGGAGTTAGAGGCAATTGTGAGCTGTACAAAGTGGGTGCTGGGAAATCAAACTTGGGTCCTCTGCAAGAGCAATAAGTGTTCCTAACGGCTGAGCTATCTCTACAGCACCAGATAATTTTACTACTTTAGAGCTATTGCAGTCAGTGATCTGAATTTTACCCCCAGTGCTCATGGCAGCACTTACTTGCTCACAAGCCCAGAGGTGGGAGGAGATGGAGATAGGTTGGTTTTGAGGGCTTGCTCATCAGCCAACTTGGCCTAATTAGAGACCCCAGCTTCTGCTGAGAAACCCTGTTTCCAAAAACAAAATTGGAGGGCTGGACAGATGGCTCATTGGTTAAGGGGACCTGGGTTCAATTCCCAGTACTCACATGGCACCTCACAGCCACCCATACATAATTCCAGATCCTGTGACTCCAGTGCCCTCTTTTGGTGTCCTGGGCACCCATCAGACATGTGATACATACATACATACATACATACATATGCCATATACATAAAATAATTTAAAGCTGGGCAGCGGTGGTGCACACGTTTAATCCTAGCACTCAGGAGGCAGACACAGATGGAACAAGAATACATTTTTGCATAAACTGGGAGATCACATAACATTCTGTTTTTCGATATTTTCTTTTTTCAAATAAAGCTCTTGTTGTGTAGTCCAGGCAGATCTTGAACTTCTATTCCTTCTGAGGGCTGGGGTTATAGACATGCACCACCACGACTGGCTGCACATTTATTTTTGGTTTGTAATGAGACCGAGTCTTGCTCTGTGTAGCTCAGGCTAGCCTGGAACATGCTACGTCGTAGCCCAGGTTGGTCTTTAATTCCCAGTGATACTCCTTTCTCAGCTTCCCAAGTGTTTTACCACCATGTTGGGCTGCAAATTTTAGGGATGCAAAGCCTATGCACAAATCAGCCTGGCCCTGAGGAGTGACTGCTTTTCTATCTCTGCCTTGCTGATCCTTTTTCTCCTTCTGCAGGCAGCTGTGCTGCCCATGGAAGCGCTGCGGCCTGGCTGATGAAGTTGGTACACACACCATGTCATCATGTGTCTCTAGCCAGCCCACCAGCGACCGGGTGGCCCCCCAGGATGAGCTGGGAAGTCGGGGTGGCAGCCAGGAAAGCCAGAAGCCCTGCGAGGCCCTTCGAGGACTCTCATCCTTAAGCATCCACTTGGGCATGGAATCCTTCATTGTGGTCACCGAGTGTGAGTCAGGCCAGGGTGTGGACCTCAGCCTGGCCCAGGACCAGCCTCTGGAGGCTGATGACCAGGAACTGCCTCTTGATGCCTCAGAATCTGAGGCACAGCCTCTACTTTCTGGTCGCAAGATGTCCCTGCAGGAGCGATCCCAGGGTGGGCCAGCATCTGGCAGCAGCCTGGACATGAATGGACGCTGCGTCTGCCCATCCCTGTCCTACTCGCCATCCAGCTCCCCACAGTCCTCCCCCCGGGTGCCTCGGCGGCCCACAGTGGAGTCGCACCATGTCTCCATCACAGGTTTGCAGGTTCGTGAGTGGAGTGAGCTGTGATGGGGGTGGGGGGGGGATGCCAGGATGAGTTGAAGGACAGTGGAGGCTACATATTGGCATGAAGTCCTAAAAAAAAACAAAACAAACACTCCCTTCGCATTTCAACTGTACAAACTAGTTTTTCTCTCTGGCTGCTCCTGGGTAAACTTCCCACAGTCCAGACTGAGGGTGTCTCCAATAGGCTGGGTGGCTGCTTCTCTTTCACTGTTCCTTTGCCAGTAGCTACTGAACCCTGATGGTTTTGTTTCTTTGAGACAGAATCTCACTATGTAGCCCAGGCTGGCTTTGAACTTTCCGTGATCCTCTCTCCTCATCCTCCTGAATGCTGAGATTACAGGTGTATGCTGCCACTCCTGGCATTCTGAACTGCTTTTTTTTTTTTTTTTTAAATAATGTTTTAGATTAGTTTGCAGATTCTAGGGTTTTATGTAAGCAGGTTCATTGCCTGTGCAATCTTTTTCAGCTCAGTTTCCTCTCCATCGTAATGATTTTGAGATTCATCGTGCCAATAGATACACTCTTGGCCCTGAAAGCTACAGAGCCAGCCAACCTTGAAAATATTCAGAGGAAAAGAAATTTGCAACTGTATGAGCCTGTGAAGGCTATTTTTTCTTGTCATTAAATGATAATTTAAATAGTTCCTGCCTCTGAGCACTAGAGTAGAATGACTTACATAATATATATTGTATTAAATATATAAGTAACTTGGAAATGATTTAAAGTGTGTGTGCAAGCGGGAGAGATGGCTCAATGGAAGAAGCATGGCTGCACTTACAGAGGACTGAGTTCTATTGCCAGTACCCATATGGAGGCTCACAACTACCTTTAACTCCAGGGACCTGATGCCCTTTCTGACTTGTGAGGACATCTTACACACACACACACACACACACACACACACACACACACACACACAATAGAAGAGTTAAGATATGGGGGAAAAGCCTGGTGTTGGTGGCGCACGCCTTTAGTCCCAGCACTCGGGAGGCAGAGGCAGGCGGATCTCTGTGAGTTTGAGACCAGCCTGGTCTATAAGAGCAAGTTCCAGGATAGGCTCCAAAGCCACAGAGAAACCCTGTCTCGAAAAACAAAAACAAACAAACAAACAATGTGGGAAGAGAGCTGAGTGTGATAGGCTATACCTGTAATCCTGGAATTCAGGAGACAGAAACAGGAGGATCATTGTAAGTTCAAAGTCATTAATCTATATAATGAGCTCCGGGCCAAATGGACTGTCTCAACTTCATAGTGCCAAATGTAAGTGAGAGAGGCTGTATGAAGGTTATATTCTGTACTAAAACAGTGCCATGCCATTTTCTGTAAGGGATTTGAGCTCTTGCATGCATGTATCTTCAGGGTTCTGCAACCAATCCCTACGGACACTGAGAGACATGTATATTAGTAGTTGTTTTATTTTACTTTTTTTAAAAAAATATTTGAGGCCTGATCTCATTGTATCCTGGCTGGCCTCCGGTTTACCCACCTCTACCTTCTGAGGACTGGGATTAAAGGTTCATGGCACCATGCCTTGCTGTTGTTGGTTCCTTTTTTTTTTTTTTTTAAGACAGGGTTTCTCTGTGGCTTTGCAGGCCGTCCTGGAACTAGCTCTTGTGGACTAGGCTGGTCTTGAACTCACAGAGATCAGCCTGCCTCTGCCTCCCAAGTGCTGGGATTAAAGACAGGCACCAACACTGCCTGGCATGTTTTTTCTTTTCTTTTTAAATTTACTTTTATTTAATGTGCATTGGTGTTTTACATATATGTTTGTCTGTGTGAAGGTGTTGGATCCCCTGAACTAGAGGTACAGACTGTGAGCTGCCATGTAGGTGGCGGGAACTGAACCTGGGTCCTCTGGAAGAGCAACTAGTACTCTTAATCACTGAGCTATCTCTCCAGTCCAGTATCTGGTTTTTCTAACAGGGTATCTTTTATTTATTCTTTGACAATTCATACATGTCAACTTGTAATTTAGTCATATCCATCCAACATCTGTCCCCTCCTACTTCTTCTATACGCTTTGAACATGTTCCCCTGTCCTCTTCCCCCCCTCTCTCTCTCTTTCTCTCTCTCTCCCATTAAGTCCAGTGAGAGCCGCCTTTTGGAATATTGACTCATCTTGTTGGATTGATGGTATGAGTAAGCATAGCTGCACATAGTTCATGAATACAGTGGCCATAGCATTTCAGGCAGTCCTCCCTATCCTCTGGCTGTTACATTGTTTCCTGTCCCTTTTGAGATATTCTCTGAGCCTTGGGGGAGAGGGGCTGAGCTCTCACTCTCAACAGTCACTCAGCACTTGGACTAGTTGTGAGTCTCTGCATTAACCGCTGACCATCACAGAGAGGCAGGTCTGTGGCCAAGGCTGAGAACGGCACTAATGTATGGATATAAACACAAATATCAGGAGACAGTCCAACAATATGTCATTTAACAAAACATCTGTGAGCTTTTGGGCAGCTTTACAATACCAAACTTGAATTCCCTCCCGTGGAGTTGGCCTCAAATCCAATCAGAAAGTGTCATGTTTCCTTCATAACTTTTGTGCCACTATGGGCACATCTTGCCTAACAGGTCAGGATTTTAGCAGACAGGATTTGCTATCGGGTAACACCATCGATGACTTTTCTTCTCCAGTGGCCTGCATGGCTTCTTCAGGTACGGTGAAAGTTAGCCAGTAGGGAGGAAGTTCTAGCTTGGTTTTGCTATGTTTTTAACCAAGGTGTGTTGTGTCTTCAGCAATAATTTATACTGTATGCTTGTGGTGGACAATCTGATCTGTAACTTGTAGGGAGGTAGCACTGAGATTTCCATTCAGTAATCCATGACTTCTGGGGTAAGTGTTGTCCACCACGAAAGGCTACCTGTGTTCAAACTCATTTATTTATTTATTTATTTATTTATTTATAGACAGGATTTATGTTTCTTTGTAGCCCTGGCTGTCTTAGAACTCTCTATGTAGACCAGGCTGGTGAAACTCACAGATCACCTGCCTCTGCCTTCCCAGTACTGGGATTAAAGGCATGTGCCATCACAATCTGGCTCTAAATATCAGGTTTGAGGCCAGCACTGCCCGCTTGTCCACTTTCTGTTCTGGCAGCCATGTGGGAAGTTATGTGTGCTCCGCTTTCTCCCCAGCACTGTCTTTATTAGCTGCCTGGTATGGCTTTCATGTGTATTTCCTCATGCTTATCCTTTTTTTTTTTCTTTTTTTTTTGGTTTTTCGAGACAGGGTTTCTCTGTGGCTTTGGAGGCTGTCCTGGAACTAACTGGTCTAGAACTCACAGAGATCCACCTGTCTCTGCCTCCCGAGTGCTGGGACTAAAGGCGTGTGCCACCACTGCCCAGCATGCTTATCCACTTTTAAAGAAACTTCTGTTCAGATCTTTTGCTTAATTTTTAGTAATAATCTTTTAAGTTTGGAATTATATCACTTGCCCCTTCCCTTTTCTCCCTCAAACCCCTTCCATATACCCCAACTTTGTTCTCTCTCCAACTCATGGCCTCTTTTTCTTTAGTTGTTACAGATATACATATTCTTAAATACATAAATACAACCTTTTCAGTCTGTATAATATATAATTTTTCAATCTCCTCCCTCTCTCCCTCCCTCTTCCTCCTTCCCTTTCTCTCTCTCCCCTCTCTCTCTCTCTGACACAGGGCCTTAGCTGTGTAACCAAAGGGGCAACTTAGTGGTGAAGTGTTTATCTAGCATGCACAAGGCCCTAAGTTTGATCCCTAATGTACCCCCATGATAATAAAAATTATACACACACACACACACTCTTTGTATGTTGGTGTATGTATGTGCGTTCATGTGTGCACAGGTGCACGTGTGTGAATGCATGTGGAGACCAGAGATCAACCTGCTGCAAGGTTACAGATGAGGGCCATCTTGTCTTTATAGAAGTCTCTCACTGGGACCTAGAGTTTGTTGGTTAGGTTGAATGGCCAGTGAGCACCAGGGATCCTTCTGTGTCCTCTTCCCCCCTGCTGGGACTGCAGGTATGTTCCACCACACCTATAGGTTCTCAGGATCAAATTCAGGTCCTCATGCTTGTCTAGCAAGCACTTCACTACCCAAGCCATCTCCCCATTCCAGTTTGAATGCTTTGTTTTTGGTGGGGGAGTGGGAATGTTCCTCGATTTTGTAGTCATTATTGTTTTGGTTTTTGAAACAGGGTCTCATATAGCTAAGGTTACCTTCAGACTCTCTAAGTTGCCAATGCTGGCCTTGAAGTCTGGATTCTCCTGCCTCAGCCTCCCAACTCCTGGAACTCTCTGTGAACCCAAGTCCTGGTTACATGTATACATTTATTTGTGACATATATGTCTTTAGCTACTGTGAGAGTCATCTCATCTGTGCCCTTCCTTGCTTTCCAGGACTGTGTGCAGCTGAATCAGTATACGCTGAAGGATGAAATTGGAAAGGTAAATGTCCTAGGAGCTGGGCCGCCTTTGTTCCTTGACCAGGGATGTCCCTGAGGGAACCAGGAGAGCTGGGGGGAGGGTTTGCCATTTGTAGGTGTGTGTGTGTGTGTGTGTGTGTGTGTGTGTGTCAGAGAGAGGGGGGGGGGCTAAAGATTGATGTCAGATATCTTCCCTCAGTACCTCTCCACCTTATTCTTTGAGACATGGTCTCTCACTGAACTGGAAGCTCATAGATTCTGCAAGATGAGCTGGCCATTAAGCCCTAGCTATTCTTCTGTAGTTGCCCACCCCGAACCAGCACTGGGATTATAGGCATGTGCTACCACTCACCTTTATGTCAGTGCTAGGGATTTTAATTCCTGTTGTATGGTCAGCATTTTACCCAGTGAGCCATCTCACCAGCCTGATTTTAAAAAATACCATTTTGGGACATGGTCTCACTATGTAGTCCTGACTAGTCTAGGACTCACTATGTAGACCAAGATGGCCTCAGACTTACAGAGAGCTATCTGCCTCTGCTTCCCAAGAACTGGGAATAAAAGTGTGCCCATCACACCTAACCTCATTCTTATTTTTTTTTTAAGATTTTATTTATTATGTATACAGTGTTCTGCCTGCATGGATGCCTGCACGCCAGAAGGGGGCCCCAGATTTCAGAGATGGTTGTGAGTCACCACATGGTTGCTAGGAATTGAACTCAGAACCTCTGGAAGAGCAGCCAGTGCTCTTAACCTCTGAGCCATCTCTCCAGCCCCCCTCATCTTATTTTAAATATGTTAAAATTAGATGCGTTTCTGCAAAAGTTCAGAAAACTTCCAGAGAAATCTTAAATTGCTATGGTTATAGTCCCCATCACATTAATGGTTCCCATCCCCAATCAAGAGACCTTGACTTCTTTTTTTAACATGCATTGGTGCTTTGCCATGGGTGTTGGGTCCCCTGGAACTGGAGTTACAGACAGGTGTGGCTGCCATATGGGTGCTGGGAATTGAACCTGAGTCCTCTGGAACATCAGTCAGTGCTCTTAACCACTGAGCCATCTCTCCAGCCCCTTTTGTTTGTTTTTGTTAGTATCATTGGAGGAGATAAAAACTTAAATGCTTACAGAAGATAAGTTAGTAATATCACTGGCCAAGGTGTGCTAAGTGTAAGACCATAGGGAGTAGTGAAGACTGAAGCTAACTGTTAAGCTATGGAGTGAGGAGGCGCCATGAGTAACCAGGCCAGGTATGAGGGTGGGGTAGAGTGATAAACTGCTTTTTTTTTTCTTTTTTTATTAAATTATTAATATTTTCACATATACTTTCCCTCTCCCTCTCCCTCCCCCCACCCCCATT